GAAGAGGAGGAAGAAAGAAAATTCATTCTCTCTATAATTTTGCCATAGCCCTGAAATGACCAACAGATTAACAAATTTTATTCTTGTTTTTAGAGATTGTTAAATTCTAATTAATAACCTAAAGAGTTAACTCACTGAGTCTTTACACTTTCATGAATTTTAATTTTTTATATCACAATCATTTATTTCGCAATCCACTTTCTATTGCAAAAGCAGCAGTGTGTCCCTATCATAAGCATCATCACACATTTATTGGTTGTCTACCAATAAATGGTAATGTACTAATTCTTATGGGATTCACAAAATGTAGGTTAGGAACTCATTTCTAGAGAAAAACAGAAAATTCATATATGCATGACAATACAGGAAAAAAATATAATGCTTTGAACATGAAACCTAAAAGTTTATCTAAATAATTTATAGAATGGACCATTTTCCCAAGTCCCTAGTTTGTGAATTTATCCTGTCTCTGAACCTTCTAACTCTTGCGTTCTGTTCCACTCACTTTATTACTAACTTCATACTGAATTATTTTACTGTTGAAGTGTATATGTCACACCATATTATATATGACCAGTATGCTGCTAGGTGACAAATATAAAAAGATAAAATGATTTTATCACTTCCCTCAAAAATGTTACACTCTAGTATGGAACCAATGTTTCAAACAAGTAATTAAATGCACACACACATTTAGTAGTTATTCCACTGAACACATTAAAGTAAAAGAGAGTGACATGCATAGTTTTTTTCTGGAGGGAATTCAGATAAGTGATTTTAAGGTAAAATAATATCTTAAAAGTAGAATAGGACTGAAGAAGGAAAACAATGTAGTCAATAAGGAATTATAAATTAAAATTAATTTGCTCAAATAAGTGGATAAAGATTGGCTTCATTTTAAAAGTACTAAATTGAGTGGAAAATATTTTAAATGAAAATAGTGTTGGCCAGGTTTTAGGGAAATTGAAAATTCTACTGCTTGTAGAATATAAATTGGCAAAAATTTTGAGTAGGCAATTTGTCAAGTTTTTATCAAAAGTCTTAATATGTTTTCTACTCTTTGACCTGGCAATTCTACTTCTAGAAATCTGTAACAAGGAGATAAATAATAATGTTCTCAGTGATTTATGTACAAGGTTGCTCTTTGCAGCATTATTTATGACAGCAAAAAATTTTAGTAAGAATTAAATATCCAAAAGTGTAGAATTAGCTCAATGGATTATATTATGGCATGTAAGAGAATTCAGCCTCTAATAGTAGCAGATGTTTAAAAACTTATAAGTATTTTATAAAAACATGTGAAAAGCAAAAACATTATAAATTGTACATTTTTATGTTTGTACTAATAATTTCTGGGTTTTGAAATTCATTGGATTTAATATTTTTGCTGCTGTTTTCAGTGTTTCCCAAAACTTATGCAAGTAATATGTATTTATTGGTCTTAATAGAAAACAAAAAGAGCTTTTTTTCTAAGTGATTATTTTCTATTTTTGTCTCTCTCACATCATCAAGGTCGTATAGGTTATGTAATGAAAAGTAGAATAAATCCTTAATGGTATATACTTAAACACCAATTAATATAGAAAACAATTCTACAAATTTCAGTGTATTCTAGTATACTAAAATATAATAGAGCACAGTGTATATCTTATAGTAGTCCCTCTTTCAGGAAAAATTTTGGTTGCCTGCTTTATGTTAAATTAAAAAAGGTATAAATTAGGATTTTTTTACATATAAATTTATATTTTTTATCAATGTTCTCTCCAATAGCCCAAATAGTTATTCATAAGCTTTATTAGACAAAAGAGAGTATGAGAAAACCAGTTCCATTTTAACATGGTCAAACATATAACCCCCAACAGTATAAATTTAAATTGATAAGAATCATGAAGAAATGATACTTCATGGCACAAAGTGAAAATGTAGAAGTATTTTGATGTGTTTTTTTGGGTTTAATATTTATTTGATGATAAATAAAAATGGTTATCTTTTGAAAAACAATTTACTACAAAATAAATATTTAAAAATATTTTATTGTTTTGCCTTCATTAATGTGATAATTAGCTTGCCACCCAATTCCTAGAATATTATTTACTATCTACAAAGAATAAATATGAGATCTTATATTTCAAACACATTATACAAGTAATTGATTTATGGCCCCATCTCTTAGTTTACAATTGTTATCACAAAAGGAAGACTTCCAACAACTCATTTGTTTTGTAAAACCTAAGAATGATATTAGTGGATTAAATTCAGAACTAGTGAATTATATTCTTCTGTGGTTATGACATTTATTATTGGATTCAAACTCTAGTAAGTAGGCAAATACATTAGTAAAACATCCTAAATCCAGTCCTGGCTGGTTTTTCTCTGTGGTTAGAGCGTTGGACAAAAGGGTTGCAAGTTCAATTCCTGGTCAAGGTCAAGGGCACATACCTTGGTTTAGGCTTGAACCCTGCCCTGGTCAGGTGCAAACAGGATGCAACCAACCAATGTATCTCTCTCAAATCATCATTGTTTCTCTCTCTCTCTCCCCTCCCCTCCATTCTCTCTAAAAAGATTAATGGAAAAAATATCCTTGGGTGAGGATTTAAAAAAAAAAAAAATCCTAAATCCTAATTTAAAAATGTAGTGGGGACAGACACTGACTGGGGTTTTTCTGAAATTAGTTTTGAAAAATTTTGAATTCAGAGAAAAATAGTTAGAAGGGACCAAAAGATCCATGAACTCCAATGACTTAATTTACTATTAAGAAACTAACCCAGAAGGAAGATAACTAAAGTAGTAACATTGTATATTTATAACAATTACGAACTTCAGAGTGAGAGCAAAAGTTTAGCTCATAAGTCTAAGGCCATATCACCCTGAACGCGCCCGATCTCGTCTGATCTCAGAAGCTAAGTAGGGTCGGGCCTGGTTAGTACTTGGATGGGAAAAGTTTAGCTCATAAGTTTGCAGTTTTGTTTTCTTCTGATACTCAATATTTCTATTTCAATTTCTTAATATATGATAGAATAACAATATCAATTTACTATACACCAGTTATTATTGGTGTATTACTATCATTATTCCTTATTTGAGGATATCGTATTTTCCAGCGTATAAGACGACACCCTAATTTTACAGTTAAAACATAGGTTTAGACCTATATTCGCTGTATAAGACTACCCCCCACTTCAAAGAAAAGACTTACTTTGTCGTCAAGATCTGCAGGTAATTTTTGTGCAATTTTGGTCTTTTGCCCCCGATTTTCGGTTGACTTTTTTTCTTTTCAAAAGTCGTCTAAGAGAGGAGAGAGAGAGAGAAAGAGAGAGAGAGAGAGAGAGAGAGACATCGATGTGAGAAAAACATTGATGCACTGGGATAGGAGATGAAACCCAACCTAGGTATGAACCTTGACCAGGAATCAAACTGGTAACCTTTTGGTGCACTGAATGATAATCCAACCAACTGAGCTACCTGGCCTGGGTGGTGTATTATTTTTTAATCTACAATCTGGAACAAAAAATGGTATGGCTGAGGGAGACTAAAATGGGATTTCTATGTATATTTTTGTATTTCTTAAATAAATAGTACTACTAGTGTTACTAAAAATCTTAAAAATACTTTATAAAATCATTGTGAAGATTAAATAAACTGAAGAGTGAAAATATATTAAAAGATGATTGCTGTATATGCCACTCTTCCATCATAAATATGGAAACATCTAAAAATTTGATGCTAATAATATCTGGGAAAAATGTAGGTAATTAACTGATAACTGCTTTTTTATATAAAATATTGTTTATTGATTTTGTACAGAGAGGAAGGGAGAGAGATAGAGAGTTAGAAACATTGATGAGAGAGAGTCATCGATCAGCTGCCTCTTGTACCCCCTCAACTGGGGATATGCCCACAACCAAGGTACATGCCCTTGACCGGAATCGAACCCGGGACCTTTCAGTCCCCAAGCTGACGCTCTATCCATTGAGCCAAACCAGTTTCGGCAATAACTGCTTTTTTAATCTTAATGATGTTGTGATGTGTACATTTAACTTTTGTTACCTGAGAGATGTACCTCTTTGAGGCTGAATAAGAAAATTCTAACATTTAATGGTACAAATGAAATCCTTCTGGCCACAGCCCAGAAATGAAACTACAGCCCTGAGCAAATATCAATTCTTATCATATGTAGTATCCTTTATTTCTGGCTCCTGAGATCATCTGTTATGAGAGGCAAAGCAATTGAAATAGTTCACTTGATCTCAAATAGATATAGTGAAACCGTTTTAAGAAGAGTTCATGCCTAAGAAATGCTACCCTAAGGCATTAGAAATGTTTAGATCATGTACACATTCCTATATTTTAAAATTTCTTTTAAATAAATTTATTGCTATATGTATTGCAAGAGTTAGCCTTTGAAGTGGTGGGTATGCTTTTCTAGACCACTTTATTTCCTTAAAACCTACAGGTGTCCCCCCCAAAATGTATACACACCTTTGAATAATTATAAAGGCAGTGTTTATTAAAATACATTTAATTTGTAAACTATAATAGAATCAGCTATTATTAAGTGTATATACAGTTTTGGGGAGACCCTGTATTTATTATGAAAATTATTCCCATATCTTAGCTCATTAGTGAGGGTAGATTTTTAGGAGAAGGACATGTGCTTGCTTGCAGTTGTGCAGTGGTTATCTTTATATAAATGATATACCCTTCATACTTTCTTCTGAGATTTGGTTCCTCATCTGAGCACTACCACACTTCTTTTGTACAGTGCAGAGAAGACAAACTATTTGAGGAGGGGAGGAGTGGGAAAAATGGTAAAATATCTAAATAGAAAAATCCTGACTGTAAATGTTCTAATGTGATTGGTGATTTGAGAGAAAAGAGCAATCAGTTGTGAGGAAGATACAGAGTTTAATGGTGAGGGAGAAGGGTAAAATCTGAATACCAGTTGCTTGTTACACCAATTCTGTTCACTTAAAATCAACTTAAATATGTTATTTGGGTCTTTTGCACATCAAGTATTTATTTAGCAAGTTGAATAAACAAGTAACCAATTAATTTTAAAAGTGTGATTTTAGATGATTACCATCAATATTTTTCTTCCTAAGCAGCCAGCATTTTTTCTGTCTCTTCTTCAAGTCTTTCCTCCTATCAGTCACAGACACTGCATGAAGCACACTCCTTTCTCAGTTTGGTTTCTGGGGACAAAAAAGTTTCAGGCCTGAGTACAATTACAAAAATAAAAATAAAAATAAAAATATATTTTCTTCAGTTTAGCTAACTCCTCCTTCACATTTGCAGTTCTCAACTGCATCACATTTTATAAATGAAATCATTTCAAATTGATTATGTTTCTATTCTTCTTCTTCATACAGTAATGGGTTAAATTAAATACGAATGGCATTGTTTTAGCAATTGAATAGGCTGCCTGAAAAAGGTCTCTCTCTCTCTCTCTCTCTCTCTCTCTCTCTCTCTCTCACACACACACACACACACACACACACACACACTTCCCATATCAACCTGCATCTTTATCTACACCCCCATTGAATTTCACCAGAAGATGACAACACAGCATTTGATTATATGAAAATATTACATATAGATATGAACCCCCTCTAAGAATTAGCTTTTGAACCAAGAACCCAAACCGAGGCCTTCCCCCAAATCTTTCACTCACTAGTCCTTTAAAAATGCACACATCCTTGAATATTTGATCTTTAAGCAGATTAGCAAGCTTGTAACAGCTGTCCAACTCCTGTAAAACCTAATTAAAAGGGAAACTGATGTAAACATATGATCTCTGTTTTTGATTGAAGAAAGAACCAAAATAACATTAAAAAAGTCCCTTAAATTCAAATCCTAAAATGATGCAACACTTTTTGGAATGCAGTGAGGGAAAGGGTGTTGGTTCTTATTAGAAAAGCCAGCAAAATAGCCTTCTGAGAGGCAGCACTTTCACATGCTCTCCTGTCACAGACGTTTGTAGAACTTGGTTTTTATAAGCTCCTTCAAAGTTTGAGGGACCTGGCAATCCCTTTTCCCTTGGAAAAGCCTGTGAACTGTTCTCCCTCAGCTCTGGTGATCCCACCGTTATCAGCAAGGTAGCCACTGCCTGCTACCCGGTGTTAGAGCCCCCCCTCCTCCAAGCTTTAGAGACCACAGATTGCTATAGACCAGATTGCTATCTCCTCTCAAAATGCAACTGGTTATTTACTTGTATGCATTTTTTTTAATCCGTCAGAACGGATGTGGAAACTTTGTGAGCCAGTGACACTGAGAGTGTATGAGTGTGTGGGAGAGGGGCGCGGGGGGAGTTGTGTGGGTGGCCTGTGCACGCTGTCTGCCAGTGAATTTTTAAGAGCACTCAGGTATCAAACTGGGATTTTCCCCTGCCCCCTCCCTCCTTTTCCGGTTCTCAGTGAAATCTTTCATATCTGGAATCAAAGGCGTTAGTGAGCATTGTGTTTTCACCCTGCAGACAAATCACATTTAAGAAAAATCAGAGAAACCGCTAACTCTCAATGACCAAATTGACTAAAAATTCTATACCAAGTTTTTAAAAGAATGTGCCTTAAATTATATACCTTGCAACAAAAACCCATACCCCATTATGCTATTATATAAAATATGTGTGATATGAATATATGTTTCAAATAGCCACTTTCCACATACCAAATTAAAAAAAAAAAAGAGGTTTCAAAGACATCAAGTAGCATAAAGCACACTGTACTGCAGAGACGGAAGAAACGCATTTAAAGCACCGTTGAAAATGGCGTGCAGTATAATTACCTCAAATTGCTGTTCGCTTGACACTCTGACACTAATTTTATTCAAGCCATTGGGAAATAAATGGTTTAAAAGCACTCTTTTTTCCCAAACACTGGAGCTAGTGGGTGCCGCGAGGTCACTAAGGAAAGGAAAGGGTAAAGTTTCCAGCATGCAAAAAAAAAAAAAAAAAAAAAAAAAAAAAAAAAAAAAAAAAAAATTAAATAATCCATTTGAAATAAAAGCGTCTACGTGGATAGACAGCCTTTAATGCCCACGTTTTTAACGCTTGCCCTGTACGCGGATTGATTTCTTTTTTTCCCCCCTTTCCTTCAGCATTCCCTCACCAGATGGATTTTTGCTACTGCAGATCAGCAGAGGGTGTCAGATCTTTCAGAGTGCACCAGGCTGGAACGAGCAGAGCTTCTTAGCAACTCTCTTCTTGCTCCCCTCCCCATTCTCGCGCTCTCTTCCTCCCTCAGACAACTCGCCTCCCGCTCCCCCCACCCCCCGCCCTCCGCCCCCTCCACGTAATTCCGAAAGAGCAGAGAAGCAAGAGAAGGAGAACAAGAAGCGAGCTTGTAACCGAGATCCAGAGCCCAGGGGGGTGGGGAGAGAGAGAGAAAAAAAAAAAAAGGCTAAAGAGGACCCGAAGGGAAGGAAACGAAAAAGGATGGACAGCCACCAAACGCAGCGGTTGCGGAAATTTCCCAGCGCCATTGGTTCGGCAGCGTGAGGGTTTCGGTGGAGCGTGATTTCAGCACCGGGGGGACTGGACAGCACCTCGGGGGGACTTCTCGGCCAGCCCGCGGCGACAGCCAGAACTCCGCCAGCAGCCTCGCCACCAGAAGCCGCCGAGAGCCCCTGCTTTGTATCAGAGAGGCAAGGTCAGTCCGACGCACAGCCATGCACAGGCAGTGCGCCTGTACTACGCTGCAAACCCTCTGCTTGTTTCTCTAACATGCACTTGCTTCTTCTAATTGCTAGCATTGTTCCCTTTCCTTAGTGGAGACCGCTAGATGGGATTCTGTTTCAGTGTGCATTTTTCATTTGTACGTATATATTTAACCTTTTTTTTTTAATTAAAGGTTTAGGGAGAGTGGGGTTTTATTTTTCTACTTTTTTTTTTTTTTTTTTTTTTTGCTTGCCTTGCACTACGTGCCTGGATAGTTTGTGGGTATCATTATTGACTGGCGCCTGGGTTGTTGCAGTGCGGGGGGGTTAGGGAGGAAGGCGTCCACCCCCACCCCCCCAAAACCCTTTTCTTCTCCTTCCCCCGGTCCGGACATCGGAGCACTAAATGAACTTGAATTGTGTCTGTGGCGAGCAGGATGGTCGCTGTTACTTTGTGATGAGATCGGGATGAATTGCTCGCTTTAAAAATGCTGCTTTGGATTCTGTTGCTGGAGACGTCTCTTTGTTTTGCCGCTGGAAACGTTACAGGGGACGTTTGCAAAGAGAAGATCTGCTCCTGCAATGAGATAGAGGGGGACCTCCACGTAGACTGTGAGAAAAAGGGCTTCACGAGTCTGCAGCGCTTCACCGCCCCAACCTCCCAGTTCTACCACCTATTTCTGCATGGCAATTCCCTCACTCGACTCTTCCCTAATGAGTTCGCTAACTTTTATAATGCGGTGAGCCTGCACATGGAAAACAATGGCTTGCACGAGATCGTTCCGGGGGCTTTTCTGGGGCTGCAGCTGGTGAAGAGGCTGCACATCAACAACAACAAGATCAAGTCTTTTCGGAAGCAGACTTTCCTGGGGCTGGACGATCTGGAATACCTCCAGGCTGATTTCAATTTGTTGCGGGATATAGACCCGGGGGCCTTCCAGGACCTGAACAAGCTGGAGGTGCTCATTTTAAACGACAACCTCATCAGCACCCTGCCTGCCAACGTGTTCCAGTACGTGCCCATCACCCACCTCGACCTCCGGGGGAACAGGCTGAAGACGCTGCCCTATGAGGAGGTCCTGGAGCAGATCCCTGGCATCGCCGAGATCCTGCTGGAGGATAACCCCTGGGACTGCACCTGCGACCTGCTCTCCCTGAAAGAATGGCTCGAAAACATTCCCAAAAACGCCCTCATCGGCCGGGTGGTCTGCGAGGCCCCCACCAGACTGCAGGGGAAAGACCTCAATGAGACCACCGAGCAGGACCTGTGTCCTTTGAAAAACAGAGTGGATTCTAGTCTTCCGGCGCCCCCTGCCCAGGAAGAGACCTTCGCTGCTCCTGGCCCCCTGCCAACTCCTTTCAAGACAAATGGGCAAGAGGATCATGCCACCCCGGGCTCCGCTCCGAATGGAGGAGGAGGTACAAAGATCCCAGGCAACTGGCAGATCAAAATCAGACCCACGGCCGCGATAGCGCCCGGTGGCGGCGCCCGAAACAGACCCCCAGCCCATGGCTTGCCCTGCCCCGGGGGCTGCAGCTGCGACCACGTCCCGGGATCCGGGTTAAAGATGAACTGCAACAACCGCAACGTGAGCAGCTTGGCCGACTTGAAGCCCAAGCTCTCCAACGTGCAGGAGCTGTTCCTGCGAGACAACAAGATCCACAGCATCCGCAAGTCGCACTTTGTGGATTACAAGAGCCTCGTCCTGTTGGACCTGGGCAACAACAACATCGCCGCGGTGGAGAACAACACGTTCCGGAACCTCCTGGACCTCCGGTGGCTGTACATGGATAGCAACTACCTGGACACCCTGTCCCGGGAGAAATTCGCGGGGCTGCAGAACCTCGAGTACTTGAACGTGGAGTACAACGCGATCCAGCTCATCCTCCCGGGCACCTTCCACGCCATGCCCAAGCTGAGGATCCTCATCCTCAACAACAACCTGCTGCGGTCCCTCCCCGTGGACGCGTTCGCCGGGGTGTCGCTCTCGAAGCTCAGCCTGCACAACAACTACTTCATGTACCTCCCGGTGGCCGGGGTGCTGGACCAGCTCACGTCCATCATCCAGATCGACCTGCACGGGAACCCGTGGGAGTGCTCCTGCACCATCGTGCCTTTCAAGCAGTGGGCGGAGCGCCTGGGCCCCGAGGTGCTGATGAGCGACCTCAAGTGCGAGGCGCCCGTGAACTTCTTCCGCAAGGACGTCCTGCTGCTCGCCAACGACGAGCTCTGCCCGCAGCTCTACGCCCCGGCCTCGCCCACGCTCAGCAGCAAGAACAGCACCGGGGGCCCGGCGGCGGCGGAGACCGGCACGCACTCCAACTCCTACCTGGACACCAGCAGGGTGTCCATCTCCGTGCTGGTGCCCGGGCTGCTGCTGGTGTTCGTCACCTCCGCCTTCACCGTGGTGGGCATGCTCGTGTTCATCCTGAGGAACCGCAAGCGGTCCAAGAGGAGGGATGCCAACTCCTCCGCGTCCGAGATCAACTCCCTGCAGACGGTGTGTGACTCTTCCTACTGGCACAACGGGCCTTACAGCGCGGACGGGGCGCACCGGGTGTACGACTGTGGCTCCCACTCGCTCTCAGACTAAGAAGACCCCAGCCCCGCTCCCGGGGGAGCTGGGGAGGGAGGGTGGGAGGGAGGGGAAGCGCTGCCCCCCTCCCCTGGCCCACATCCCAGGGGTCACAGTCACTGAAGCCCAGACCCCCAAGTCCAGTGCGCCCCTCTCCCCCGAGGCTTGCTTGATGGACAGAAGTAAATAAATAAAAACTGTGAACTCGCTCCACGGAGAGGAGTCTGGCTCCTGAGCTCCCTCTCTGGAAACAAAGAGCAGACTGTGGCTGCGACAGCGCTGCTAAATCGCTCTTTGCTGCCAGCCCTGGCCGGCCGAGAGCCCCTTTCCACAAAGCCCAGCGGGGGCCCTGCTCAGAGACCCACAGAGCTGGTGGGGGATGGCTGCCGTGGCCCCGCACCTATATCCACACACCCACATCTATATAGAGAGATAGATATCTATTTCCCCCCCCCCCAGTGGATCAGCCCCGCGAGGAGAGGGGGCGTGATCGTTCCCTGCAGGCGGCGACGACGCAGGAATGGGCAGTTGCACGAAGGCATGAATGTATTGTAAATAAGTAACTTGGACTTCCGAGAAAAAAACAAAACAAAACACAAAAACACAAAACGAAACAAAAAGTGCTGCATGGCTCGCATGGAATCCACGCGCTCCAGGGACTCGGCCCTCCCTCCCCGGCGACTGGAGAGAGCGCCCGTTCACAGCACCCGCCCGCCCTCCTCCCCGATAAGTCCCATCGTATCAAACTTTCTCTACACAAGTACAGTATAATCAGAAGTGCCATTTCGCCATTATTTGTGATCGGTAGGCAGTTCTCGGAGAGTATGTTTACTGTGAAAAAAAAATGTTAAGGTTTTTATTTAAGACATTTGCATGATTCGTCATCAGTCCATTTTATGAGTTAAAAAAAAAGTATTTTGTTGAGAGGCGTTTTTCCCGGGTTGTTTTTGGGTTCGTCCTTTGATTTGGATGGTGATGTTTGTTTCGGTTTTATTTTATTTTTTATTTTTTTGTTTTGAAGGGGGGGGGGGTATTTTTCTATACATTTCCAATTAAGGCCTTCCATCTGAATGTAAAATAAGTACCCATGGTTTCTATTATAGTATTGGTGTAATTATTAAAAATAAGAGAAAAAAAAGAAGAAAAGATTTTTTGAGGCAGTTAAGCATGACCAATTAATGTCACTCTAGTGCTTAGGCTGCGATCCTATGGTAGCAATTCTGTGCTGGTGTAAATCTTACTTACAAAGTAGGGGAAAGAGCCGAGGAAGCACGTGGAACTTACTAATTCTATTCAAGGATTTTATAATGGCATATTTTTTCAGTATTAAAGTGAAAATGTTTTCAACTCTTGGTCCTTACATTTTTCCAGCTTCATATTTGCAACTGGTAAACTGGATTTGCGGTGGAAGGGACAGGGGAGAGGGAGGGATGGGGGTGGATCCCTTCCAGAGCTGCTTTAAGGCTCTTTCTCTAATCCTCTTACTTAGCTTTTACCTTTTCTGTAGTTCCCGTCCCTTCCCCCTCCATCCCCGCCCCGACTTTTCCAGATTTTCCTGTGGATTAAGTAAGGTCTTCCCCCAACAGCGCCCTCCCTCTTCCCCCTTTCCTTATGCGGCAGTGAATCCCTTTATTAATTCTGGAAATCCCTCCTGCTGCTTCTCTGCTGCTGCTGCACACACTGCAGATATACTGAGGACGTTAGTAAAGATTTGATTTAATTGACTCTGCCTAGATCGGTCTCATTAAACAGAGTGGAGATTTCATTGGTCAGCATTCTTCAATGAGAGACAGCCATAATGACTGGCATTTGAGATGCTGCTGGCATTTTGAATTCAACATCTGCTGAAAACGGTCAAACTAATTAAGGCCTGCCCACCCACCCTGCCCGCCCCAGCAACTGCATATTAAAATTGGTTAAAACACTTATCTTTATGGAAATCAATCATTATCCTAAAGAAAGTGTTTCTATCCCATCATTTGGATTTATGGTTGTGACTCGTTAATTAACAAAAAAAAACACAGCATTGAACTATTTGAATTTTATGAGCCCATGTAACTCTGGCCTCAATTTTGTTCCTCTGGGATTTCCAAGTGGTCTGCTTTATCAGCAGTTAAGGGACAAAAGGTAAACAAAACTACATATATTGATGGGGTCTGCGTTCCACCACATATCCACCATTGAGAAGTGTTAAAAGACTGCAGACCACAGATCGAGAAAAAAAAAAGAAAAATCTATATAGATTGTAAAGGAGCAAACGAAAGCCCCCAGAGCAGTTGTAAGAAGATTTGCCTTCTAGAACTCATATTCTAAGAACAAGTAATTTCCCAGAACAGTGACAGTGATGTTCTGGAGTATGTATTATTTATTTTAATGCTTTTTAAATAAAATCTTTATTATAAACCATGACTATTCCTAAGGCCATTCATCATTTTCTCTCTTGATTCTTTTGTTTGTGGACTACATTTCATAGTGGTGAAATTGTAACCTACAAATATTATAAGTTGCTTTTTATTTATTATTCATATGAAGGCCTTAATTCCTTTCATGAGAAGTACAACTGGGTTTCTGGTAAGCAATGGACAGATTTATTTGTGATGGAAAATTTGGGAAAGGGAAGAGCCAGGTATTCGACAGTATTATGACCTTAAGAAGGCAAAGAAAAGATGGCAGATGTTCTAAGTCTCTGGTGGGAAGTGACACTTACCTAAAAATACCTAGTGAGGCATGATAGTAATTTTTAAAACTGATATGTAATTAATCTAAGTCATGAAACTAGAACTTCTCATAGAACGAGAACATTCTCACAGGGCGCACTGGGGCAAGAGCCTTCCTTCATACTAATTTTAAAAATTATAATATTAAAGATAAGGTTAAAGGGTTAAGTTATTCTTAAAATATTAACTTTGAGTGGTCATTGAGTACCAGGCACGTGGTACTCAGTGGTTTACATAATGACCTAATTGAATTACCCCAAGTACAAAATAGTTTAATAAAATGTTGCTATTTCCATTATACCAATGAGAATAACGAAGCTAAAGGAGAATAAGCAATAACTCAATAATTCATAACTGTTAAATAGTGAAGCTGGATTTAAACTTCAACACCTCATGCTATGCATAGTCACTTATATTTACCTGATGACTTTTTAAAATATAATATTCCAAATAAAGAACCTAGGTTGTGTCTTTTAAAAATATATATATATTTTATTGATTTTTTACAGAGAGGAAGAGAGAGGGATAGAGAGCTAGAAATGTCAATGAGAGAGAAACACCGACCAGATGCCTCTTGCACACCCCCTACTGGGGATGTGCCTGCAACCAATATACATGCCCTTGACCGGAATCGAACCTGGGACCTTTCAGTCCGCAGACCAACACTCTACCACTGAGCCAAACCGGTTTCAGTGGTTGTGTCTTCTTATTTGAGTATGTATTGGTGGCCCTTTATATATTGAGTATGTCTTGTAACAAAAGCTAATCAACCTACATTTAGAAGAGATGTTCTCCAAGAGTGTTTAAGAAGACTTACATATAAGAAAAAAGATGAATATGCTATATGAATTTAAGAATTATAAAAATTCATATGATTAAATCTAAATTATCTATACATTGATTCTAAAATATTAGAGTCATCAACTATTTTAATACATAATAATGCTTGTTAAGATTTATGTAGAAAAGATGTCCAATCACACATATATTATAAAAGAACATATATTATTTTGAGAGTGCTTTATTTTGATAAGTATCTTGAGCAGGGTTACATATATAAACATGTATGCTTATATGTTGTTTGAAAGATTCAAAATACATATGGTTTCACCATATAATTACCTTTTAGGTGGGTTTAGCTTCTTGTTTTTGTTTATTTTTACATTAAATGCTCACATAACTGTAGTTGTCATTTGCTTTTGTTGAGATACCTTGTTTCCAGCTATATCATCCTTTAACTTATCAAAGTAAAAGAGATTGTAGTTGTGCCAGGTGGAAAAGGAGAAAAGAAAGAGATATTTTGTTTAGTTCCATTCTTTAAAAAAAGTAGTAGATTCAGTGACAGCTGCTGTAACTAAGAATATCTTAATATTTAAGTTGCTGCCATAGAAATTTATTGTTTACCCATTTTTACATGTTTACCTAGGTGGAAGCTGGAATAGTTTATTTAACATCAACAAAGCATGATTATTTTTCTTAACAGTATTTATATAAGATGTAATTAGAATTGTCAGGCATTTTAGAAAGTATTAAAATTATATTGGTGATTCTAAGGACAGTTTGTCAATATTGCTTTCTCTAGGTTACTAATAAATGTTTTTTTGGTATGCAAAGAGATGGATGAATCTGTAAGGGTGAACACATAAGTGTGTGTTTTCAATGTGTTTACAGAATATTAAGTAGAGTATTTTCCAATTTTGCTTTTTTGCTAGCTTATATATGAATACCATTTTTTTGGTGTGTTTATTTTAAGAAAATGAAAATATAAAATGTGCTAAAATTTAATTTTGGCACGCATTAACTTTTGGTCCATTTTCTCTCTATTGCAGTCTATTCCAAATTCAACATATTTAATTTTTAAAAGATGAATTCTGTATGATATCAATAGACTCAGTAAATAAATACTTAAGATTTTTGTTATTTGATCTGCTTCATTGTGGCCTTGATCCATTAAAAAAAGGATAAAATAAATAACTTTCATGTAATTCCATGCATTTTCTTTTATCTATAAAGATGCCAAAACTGTTATCATTAAAAGAAACAGGACATGTGGAAAGAAATTCTTGGCATTGAAACTTAAAGAAAGGCCACTAAATAGCTTTAGGAAAGCACATTTTACAACCAAGACAGTTTTGAAAACTGAACCTATATTGTCTCTGTTGTGGCCTATTGAAAGATGGTTGGGTTTCAGAAAAAGTTAGTTAACATAATAACAAATTAATTGTTTAATAACTCCAATTTTATAATGAAATGGACCACTGAAGAAATCATCTTAGATACTGAAACCCCAGTGTAACCCTTTGGCCTCGATTGCCTGGCAATTTCACTTTATTGACCGATACCTCCATTTTGTTTAATTAATTACTCTTCTCCCTCCTTTCATTTACTTGCTAAATATATATTACATTACATACTTGAAATATAATTATATTTCTTACTTGAACTTTGCACAAAGCTTATTGGAGAAGAATTATCTAAAATTTCAGAGAATTTCGAAGGCTTTAGAACATAAATGTTCAATTGGCAATTACTACATGAAAAATATTATAGACATTCTCTTGGGAAAAGAAAATGAGGCAGTTCTAATCGCAAGAAGTTTATGACCTGCAAAGATGAGATATATACATCATTGTAATTATAAAATAGTAT